TGTACTGCAGACCCTTCATCAATAAAGAGGCATGTTAGCCTTTTCCTTGACTGGGATTTCTGCACCTGATGTTGTTTAGTCATTCCATTAGCTGCGCCCCATTTTTATTTATTTTTTTACTTCCGTCTGGCACGCGTGGACAGCAAATGCAACTTTGAGCTTAGCTCGGCGCAGCTCAGATACGCTTTGGCATCATGCAACACATGAATGGGTGTGGGCAGCTATCTGGGAGTTAGTATAAACCGGAGCACTGTGTTGCTATTACCATGTCACACAATTGTCGTTACCATTGTAACAGCTTGCTTGTTTACACAGATATCGCATGAATGAACCTTGAAAATGACTGTGAAAGTCATTATTTTATGTGGCTGTTATGTTAGGTGAATTTTTAAAACAAATATTGTGCATCATAGTTTTCAGTAGATTTGAACTTCCTCAATGGGAAATAGTTTTTGATGTCGTTTATCACATGAATATACACCGCCTGAATGAGCCATGTGATGCGTTAGATAAACAAACCTTACCGCTGAACTGCAGTTGTATATATAGCCACACAATGGAAGTAGGTCCATTCTATTTATGAATGCTATTTAAAATTACTGTAGACAAGCCCATACTCATAAGAAGTGAAATGTTGACTGCAGATTATTGGTCAAATGTGCCCTGAATAAAAAAGTTGAGTCAGAGACTTAGATCTGAGTCTAACCATAACATGAGACCAAACCAAAAGGAAAACAGATAATAAGTTATCAGTGTATATTATGGCAGGATGGATATAAACACTGCCCACCTTATAAAATACATGGGTCAGCCGCTCGGAGTTTGACAACAACACTGAAAGAGTTAAAGTATTAGATACTTGGATCGGGCTAAACAAAAGCTGAACTCCAATACTAAGCGCTATATTTAGCAGAAACTGGGCACAGACCATCAATCACATGATGGGACGGTAATAGAATCAGACTGTGTTTTGATTTGCCAGATTCAGGCACATTTATAAGGATGTCCTGCTTCAGAGCTTCTCTCAGTGGTTGAATAAAGCGGACCTCAGGCATTTTGAGCTCACAGTTGTTAGTTGTTAAAACTGGAGTGGCTTACGTGATAACTTCTTCACTGCCACAATTTAAGCTTGAATGTGCTTCAAGTATCTGTATTGACCGCACGATAGCAGATGTCCCCCAACAAGTCTGCAAAAAAGAGAAATGAAGAAAAACTATATAGAAGTGATGAGTCTTCACAGAAAGGTTTGTTTCATAGAGAGGGGTCTGTATTGAATTAGGACATGTTTCACATCCAGTTAACAGTTTGTATATGTTCCCTGTAAAGATACTATCTATTGCTAGAATGAGTATAGATTCTTCTGTGGTAAAATGATTTATAATCATACACCTTCACACATCTTAGTTTTATGCTAATCAACTGCTTCACAGAATATTTTAATCAGAATTGATGATTTTTTTTCCCCCTCATGACATTGATTTTGTGTTGCATATGGGCTATACTGTGTGATGGCAGCCTGCATCCTAACAGTTATCTTATTGATGGTGATTGCAGTAATTAGATCACTGTACTCATGATGCTTTTGACATTTAGTATTTTGCGTCTTTTCTGTTTTAAGGCAGATAATGACTCTGGCTTCCCATCAATCACAGCACTTTACACTCATTAGAAGGCCTATGACACAGAAAGACAAACAGACTCAGTCCCGTGCAGCCCTGCTCAGAAAAATGAAACCGACCCAGGAGTTATTAATGATGAAATGATGTTGCTTTTGCTGTGAGACTGTGATCTTTATGGTGAGCTTGGAGGAGGCAACATTTTCTACTTTTTGTTGCCTAAACATACGATTCATCTTTGATTCACGCTTGCTCCTCAACTTTAATACTTAAATTATTGAAGCGACAATTAAACAACTTGTTATGATTGTGTTACTTTCATTTGTAAGTCCACATTATTACAATGACCCTTTCACTCTGTGACTCATTAATTGTGCATCTGAGATTGTGTCACTGCATGATACGGGAATATTTTATCCTGCTAATTCAGCCAGCTGGCTTTGGCCAACCAAGCAGTCTGATCTGCTTGATATATCACTTTGTTCTACTTTACTTCAGCATCATAAATATACAGTCTCCTGAAACTTTTCTTGAGATTCAGCTTTTGTAGGTGTTGATTCATTATGGAGCTACAGGGATTGGTCTCTTTTGACATAAAACTCCAACCATTAGCTTCAAAAGTGGTGATTGACTTCTGTCCAGTGTTTCTGCTTGATCTGCTAGAGAATAAATAAATCTGCTGGTTGTTTTCAGTAGGGCATTCAGGATAAGTCTCAATTGATCAATTTGAGCAACATTTAAGAGAAAACTTTATACATCTGGATTGTTAGCTTCCACCTTCTCTTGTGATGAATATCTTAGGAAAACAGAGAAAGCAAGACATTGGAAGATGGATTATTTAGCTTTGGGAAACACTGATTAACTTTTTTCCTGACCAAATAAATAATCAATTAATGGATGATATAGACAGAGATGGCACACCAAGAGATTTGTCTTGGTTCCAGCACTAGTTAAAATACTCTAATGTTTTACACTACTCATTAGAGCTGGGACGATGTGCCTTGTGGCGATTCAATTTTATCACGATTCTTGGTTCCCGATTCGATTTATATTGGGATTCTAAACTATTGCAATACAACATGTATTGAGTTGAAGACAAGGGCATTTAAAAATGGAGGGAAACCAGACAAAGGGAGGAAGTAAGACAAGACAAGAAACACTGGGGACTAGAACTACAAAGTTAAAACAGGAAACACTTAAGACAAGACTGGGGAAATGCACACAGGGAAAAGAGTTACTTGATACAAATGAGAAAATAAAACAGGAAGCACTAGAAACTTAAAACAGGAAATTAATTGTAAACACATTAAAATAAACAAAAAAACTGATTTAGCAAATCCAGACTAACTCCCTGTAAAGAACTTGATTTTATTATGTGCTCATGTCGAGGTTTTCACAGAGTGGGAAACAGAAAGAAAGTGCGTGAGACAAAGTATGAAGACTGAAACAAAGCTTGGACTTTACATTTATCAGTGTGGTGTTTCCAGATGTTACCAGCTCAATGTATATTTATTTTGTTTATGCAGATATGATGGCTGCAGCAGAATCATTGGCAAGGAAATGTCAGTATCTCTAAATGCATATATCCTAATTTCTTTTTTATGTCTTTAAAGATGATTAAAGGCCCCAATTGCTGGTTAAGTTTCTCTGTTCTTCATAGTTTTTGAAGCTGTGTGGTTGCTTCTCTGTGTGCTTGCTTTGGCCTAGACATAATTCTCACATGTCTGCTCAGGTGGGCCCTTAAACTACGACAGTGACCATTCATTATTCATGTAGGACACAGTGTGAGTGACTAAACACATGCTCTCAATGAATTTTTAACTCGTGCACTTGAACAGACCTTTTTCATCAGAAGACATCTAAGGAACAGGAAAGAATTTCACTGAGCCTCTTTTAGATATTAGACAGGAAATAAAGAAATTAAAGTTCTCTGTCAGAGAAGATGTTTCATCATCCAAACGATCGGGAACGTTGGCGGTTACTGACAACTTAATCCTATTTTCTTTTTGCGAGAGCGATGTCTCAGAACTGTATCACATCATTGTTACAGGAGAAGCAGCTTTGCCAGTTAAACCATCTCGCCTGATTTCCTCAGTTTCCTTTCGTCGTGAGAGACAGTCTGCTGCACAGATGTAGAACAACTGTCTCCTGCAGGACTGCTCAGATAAGCACAAGTGAATTCTCTCAGATGTGTCTCTGTTCACCTGCGCCGTGAAAGCAGCATTCAGATCAGTCATTGTGCAACAAAAAACCCAGGCTATGCAAGTTTTTACCTCACAAAAAGATATTTACCTTTTCCCCAGAGCAAACAGAATTTAGTTCCAATGCTTGTGTCTGTGTTTGTAATATTTGGATGCCTGACAGAAATAATGTACAATGCTGTTAAAGTTATTCATCATTGTCCCTGAGGAGCTCTCGTTTGTTTGTTTTTGTTTTTTTCCAGGGGTGTGAAACTGCTGAGTGTGGATGTTGTGATGTGTATGATTCATGTGTGTTGCTGTGTGAGTTTTATTTTGGCTGCTTAGACGCCTTCCTTTGAAGTGTGCAAACCAGATCTCATACTGATACAACAACTTCCTTACAGTTATAACTTTATCAGTAAAAATCAGCTGAAAACATTTTTCATACCATAAAGTGCAGATTATCTTTTACAAAGTTCAGATTTCTTTGTTTTTTTTTTTCACCGTGATGCAATGCAGCTATAGCAGAACGGAAAAACATAGACTTCTCATAAATAGTAAAGTGTTATTGTGTTATAACACAACCTGAGGGAGTCCCACTTCCATGAAACACCGTGGTTGAAACATGAGTGTATTTAATAGGACTGTTTAAAAGCTGATGTGGACTTTATTTCCAGCCAGCATCCGATAAACAAAAGTGAGCTGTTAATCTCTTCTGAAGGAGCAACAGCTCTAAGCTTTTTCAGTGATATTCAATCAGTGTAAAAATAACACTTGCCCTGAGGAGAATCAACTACTTCCTGCAGCCCATGAAACTCACCTTCACTCTCTTGTTTGAGTATTAAAAAGGATGGTGCATTCCTTGTATGTTTAATGGCATTACTTGATATAACGTCTTATATCAGTATGCTATGACAAAGAGAAACATGCAGAGCTTTAGATTCAATTGCATTCAAAGACATGCATTATAAAAACAATTGTGATAAATAACTTGAATTTATACAAATGTAATTTTGAGAAGATGTGAATTTATTTTATTTTATTGAAGTCATCACTCAGTTCATGTCATACAGCATCTTTTGGTGCTCATTTGAGGACTACTAAAGGTCTTTAGTCTCGGTCTTTGTGTTGATTTCTGTGTGCTCAAGCATTACAATATAAACAATATAAATAATATTTACTGTGCTTTCTATTTTTGTCACAGGTAAATCACAGAGGGCTTCATTTCTTGGCTTTGGGAGGGATCCTGGAGCATCAGGATGCCAGGTGAGTTTCTCATCGGACGTCATGTTGCTTCTAAGGAGCTGATAAAGGTTAGACACAAACACATAGGATTTTATATTTCCAGATATCTTTTAATACTGTTGACCCTAAAACTAGTCAAAACTTTGTCGAGCACTTTTCAAGACGGGTGCACAGAGTGCTTTAAAGAAGCAATTGAAAAGAGACAATCACAATTGCACACACAGAAACAGGTTAAAAAACATAAAAGACAAATGAAGGTAAAAACAATAAAACAGGAGAGTGGAAAATAAGCACACTGGAGCTTTGATCAAATTAACTGCCAACTAAAAAGACAAGTCTGTAAAAATTAGTTTTAAGACAGGGTTTAAAATCACAAACAGAGTCAGCTGAACGGATAAAAAGTGGAAAAGAGAAAACAATTCTGTGGTAGGGGAATGTTTTTACAGGGATCTGAGATGACGGGCAGGAAGTCTTAAAAATCAGCATTTGCAACACATATCCAAATGATGTTTGATGGGAACAGCAGTAACAACTTCTGAATGACTTTCAGAGCAGAGTATTTTGAATGTTCGGGGGAATTCAGACTAATGATTCCCAAATGGATCTGTTTAACATCGCTATGCTGTTTATAACCATTTTCTTTGTGTTTTGCAAAAATGATTAAACAAGATAACTGATCTCATTTCTACGAACCAAACGGCAGGTCACCATGTTAAACTACATCCTGACCTACAAATGGCCAGACATGCCACATGACTCCTGCAGCTAGGAGTAGAGCCCTGCTGTGTTTTTGATTCAGTAATCCCTCAGTTCTGCCTGTCAGTGTTCAGGCGCATTTCAAATGAGCTGCAAATTATTTTGGTAACATTTCTAACATTCATTTAAAATAGAATCAAGTACAGTCTGGAGAAGTAATGGCAGATTGTTAAGAAAATGAAAGTACATTTGTTCACATAGCCTTTATATTTGGTTCCTCCCTGTGTAGTAACACTAGTGTAAAAGAGGCCAGAGCCAGTGTTGCTGCACAGATTTTTCAATATCGCTGAATAAAGACACGGCAGAAGCGGGTCTGTTGTGCCATGTGAATGCTGTAGTACCAGTGTCAGGCTGCCATTTTAACAAAACCTGATGAATTTATTTTTTAGATTGCATTGTGTTAAGTTGTCCCTGACAGCTTTTTTTTACTGACCCACATTTCAGTTCAGACAAAATAATCTTCTTTCTTTTATATTAACGGCTGGTATTAATACCAAATGTAGGTTATTTTGTATTGTTTTGCATGTGACGGAACGTGAGTTAGATCTATCAATCAGGAGTCAAAGCTAGGAAGGTTAGTTTGTCAATCCTCACAGGGGTGTAATCCTGTAAAGAGGTTTCCAAAGGCACGTAAGCCAACTACTACACATCGACCTCACATGATCCCTACTCTACCCTTACTCTAATTAGACCAAGCCTTTAATTGGCCTCTTAACCCCGTTTGTCAGGGGTGTAGAGGTTAAAAAAATGTTTATATGCTATGTGATAGGATGATGTAATGATCTCTGAAAATCAGCTTTACATATGACATATCACCCAATGAGCAATGTGTTTCCTTTGAAATGATTTCTAGATACATTACAACACTTTTTATGTTTTATTTGTTTGTTTGAGGACCAAACAGTTCTGAAGATGAATGCAGTTTGTGCAATCTTAAACATTATTAAAATGAAATGATAAAATGACTGAAAGATTGTTTCACCACTAATGACCAAAGTAGACACATTTATCCCCATCAATGAAAGCTTTAGTTTTCAACCTGTGTGTGTTTTATTTCTCTTTTAGTCCTCTGTACGGCCGGACATTGGCTTGGCGAGTCCGAGTCCAGCGACTCCGTCGGTGAAGTCATCAGCTCCCTTATACTCCTTCACTGCAGCCAATCCTAGAAGACGTTCTCTACAAGATGCTCCACCTGTCGGTCAGTGACAACTCAGTCTTTAGAAGGAATAACAAGGGAAGATGTTTTTTTAAAACAAAATGTACTTTATCCAATTTTAAAGGATCATTTGAACATTATAATAAACAGAATCAAAGTGGACACTTCTTCTTGACAGGTTTTGAACAATTAGCATTGAGGCATTTTTAAGCATTTTAATTTTAGCAGCACTATTGAAGAGGCCTCATTATTCCAATCATGGATTGCTGAAGATGGCACCAAATTCGTTCAAAGCTGCAATCATGAACACTCCTCAAAACACTTAAAATCCTACAGACTCCCTCTTCGGCCCTGTAACTGAATCTGTGCTGTTAGCCCACGTTCAAGTCATTAAAAATGGCAACTTAGGAGGAAAATTAAAATTGTTGTATTATTAAAATAAAATAATAGTTATTACAGAACAACTCTGCCCAGTGCATCCTGTTTCGGTGTTATTATGACTCGTCAACAACACATTCATTGTTGCCTCTTTAGTATTTTTCACCTGTGAATGAATAGACGTGCTTTCATCTTTCCACAGATCCTCTACAAACAAAAAAGGTTCGAAAGGTCCCTCCTGGCCTGCCTTCATCTGTGAGTGGAAGATCATCTACCTCTCATATAAATAGATTTCACAGTGAGCTGACTTAAGCAGACACACACACACACACACACACACATACACCTCCCTCTCACTTGCTAACAAAGAACGCTCTTGACTTCACAACGGCATCACTTGACATCACAACCGGGAATTCACTTGTTTTTTGCTCGTGCTCAGCGGTGACAGCGGTGGTGCCTGTTCATTTTAAAGTTGTTGGATGTTTACACGCTAATACGAGATTGTAAATGTCTCTGTAGGCCTCATCTTTCTGTCCATTGTGTGTGCTTGTGCATGTGCACGCATACACATGTGCACCTCGGGGTGATTGATTTTCAGTGCTGCCCTGTCACAGTGCAGCCTCCTCACAGCCTCTCCTGGGAGAGAGAGAGGCTGTCAGAGCGGATCCCCAGCTCTGCTCTTTTGATGTTTAATTAGTCATTACGTAGCCGAACAGGAGGACAGACAGAGATTAATAGCACAGAATATCTGAAATTTCTATTGGTAATGATCCCGGTGGAGCAGAAACCATTAGGATGCAGAGAGGAGTGGAGCTCAGCTTGCAGTTGCTTAGACAGGGGGTGCTGGAGTTCATTAATATGCATAAATCACTAAGTCAGATGTTCATTGTTAAAACCCTGGTGGATTGGCAAAGGTTTCATTAATCCTTCCCTAAAATCCTTGAACTGGTTTAAGACAAGTATTTTGTCTTTTCTTTCTAAAAGAAGCAACTGGTTTACTAAAATCCCACCCTATTCTTTCCTTAAATAATGAAAGGGTTTGCTGGCAGCAAAGGTTTTTTTCACCTTTATTTTTTTTTTCAGTGAAGGAGTCTGAGAGTGGATTTGCGTTTCAGAGCTTTGATAATCGTCACCTCTGCTGCTGTTCCTCTGAAATCAAATATGGAACAGGCTGTGGAACATAAAAGGCTGGCATGTGTTTTGTTTCTGGATTTAGGTTTGAAAGAAGTTTGTCAGCACGTGAGGGAGAGAAGCAGTGGCAGGAGCGCGCTCTGCCTCTCCCTCTTAAGTAAGTGATATATTTGAGGTCTTGTCAGAAGGAGGGAGCGAGGCAAAGAATGGCTGCCTCGCGGGTTACATCTCTTTGTTGTGTAAATGGACGCTGGGCTTTTTTATTTGTCAGGACTTAACACATGGGCGCAGGTGCGGTTCTGTGACTCATAAGAGTACAATCAAGTGGTACAATGCAGGATGGGGAAAAACAGTGACAGAGTATGGGATAAAATACAGCTTCTTGTCACTCAGTAATGCTCAAGAGATAAAGCCTGGAGCTTGGAGGAATTATCCCCCTTAGTCTTTGATCCCATTTAAAAGAATAAAGATGATGGTGTTGAATGTGGGCTATAGGTCTTTTTTAACCTGCTGACAGATAAAGGAAAACATAAAGTCATTTTTTGATAGGTGGTATATTCAGAAATGTTTGAGTGGGAGGTTGTCTGGCAGCTTTTAGGAGGTGTTGGTATTGGACTGATGGCGCGCAGGTGATGTTTTTAACTATTGGATGGTGTAAAAAGCTTCTGGTGGCCTTTAATATGTGTATCGTGACTGTTGAAGAAGGTGAATCTTTAAGGATCGCAATCAGCCAAGACCCATGTTGCCATCTCTGGCTTCGACACATGGGGCAGAGAGGGTGGTTTTGAAGCAGTGTTGAGGGGGAAGGTGCACCTGGAGTCAGAGCTACTTCACCCTGAGGCAGCTGTGTGAAGAGCCTGCAGCGTACCTGAACATGAATGCAGCTGCAAACACCACTGAAAGCTTTTGCTTGTGTAAGCAAGAGTGAGAGCCCTGGGACCTGAATAACTGACTGATTTTAAAAAAAAAATAAAAATCAACACAACGCTTCCTATCATTATGTCTACTGCTGGGAATTTTCTTATTTATTTATTTTCCTCTTAAATCCCCCCTTTTCCTCCCTGAGCTTGTATCCTTGCTCCTTAGTCTAAAAATAAATGTAGGAGTTTTAAATCACACGAGCAGAGTAAGACGCAAGTCCAAACATGATGTGTCTGTGTGTGTGTTAGTGTGTGTGTGTGTGTGTGTGTGTGTGTGTGTGTGTGTGTGTGTGTGTGTGTGTGTGTTAGTGTGTGTGTGTGTGTGTGTGTGTGTGTGTGTGTGTGTGTGTGTGTTAGTGTGTGTGTGTGTGTGTGTGTGTGTGTGTGTGTGTGTGTGTGTGTGTGTGTGTGTTAGTGTGTGTGTGTGTTAGTGTGTGTGTGTGTGTGTGTGTGTGTGTGTGTGTGTGTGTGTGTGTGTGTGTGTGTGTGTGTATACACCACATGATGGAACTGAATCAAAATATTTACCAGAGCACATCCTGTGTGCATTTAGATTTTGACACTGTAGAGCTCCAGGATGCAAAGGCTATCTAGACAGGCCAGCTGCTGATTGCAAACTTTTAAATGTTTGTAGGTTCTTTTTCATTTTATATACAGAGACCTTCTTCGCTCAGCCACACACACACACACGCACACGCACACGCACACGCACACGCACACGCACACACACACACACACACACACACACACACACACACTCTCCCTCTGTGGTCTGCTGGATGTGTGCTGGATTGGATATTGCCCATGTGACAGATTAGTATAACAAATTATAAATACTTTCCATTATTTCAAAGCTTTAAACCTTGTTTTTTAAAAATTGTTTTTCTATTCAGCATTGGAACTTAACTTAACTTACAAACTTGTAAACATGAGCGTTAAACATCTTTAAAGCACTCGAGCATGACAGCTTTCCTTTTTATTTGTGCTACAGTAGACACCTTTTTCTATAATTGGCTCCCTGAATTTTTTGACTGTATAAACCGGGCGATGAGAGCAAAGGACAGAGCGTGTTGTCATTGGACAGACAGGCGGCTGCGCTGAGGGATGCTGATGGGCAGCTGCGTGGGCACCTGTCTGACAGGAGGACTGAAGATGGAGAGGGAGCGAGAGGGGGTTTGTGGCTTGTGGGGGAAAGTTGCATCTTGTAGGATATTTATGGGATGCTGCAAAGGCATGGTGTGTATGTGTTGTGTGTTTGTGAATGTCAGCTTGTTTGTGTAAATAGTGTTTTCTTTCCCCCCCCTACAAACTCTTGTCAGTGGCACAGCAGCTCGATGTGACACTTCCTCCCTGGCTGTGGTGACGATATGGCTGCGGGAGGAGAGAAAGAAAGTGGTGGGCTGAGATTCTGCTCCCCTCGGGTACTTTCGCAAGCGAGAACCCTGAGTATGGATGACAAAATAGATTGACATTTGCTTTTGACAGATCACTCAGACACCCTTGTTTCTTTGAGATTTGTACAGTGCAAGCTGCAAGAAAGAAAGTCTGCTCAAGGCTCTGATTCTTAAGTCCCAGAAATGCTCCTGCAGTGCTGTCTGGTGCATGACATTCAGAGGATACATGTTCTGTCTCTCTCTGTGCATCTGCCTTTAAAAGCTCGAAGACAACAGACCGATATGTTGTCATGCAACATTGACCTAAGGTTCCCTTGTGCTGAGAAAGCACAAGGGATTCTTCCTTTGAACCACAGCAGGCCAGGACAAAGTAATAGGGCTTGGTGAATAGGCTGTGGATATAATGCATCAGTTAAGCTCTGTGTAAACATTCCGACCAGGCCTTTATGAGTCTCTCTGCAAAATTAGATTTGAGGTCCACCAGCAGAATCATAGGAAGCTGCACATTTGAAACGTGTGGTGTTGTGACCCTGATGTTGAAATCACAAAGAAATACATTTAATATTTATGCTTAGATAGTTAAAGAAAGGAATGAACACTCCCCTAGCTTAAAGGCTGATACTTGTTGTCTGCTTTTCATTAGCCAGGTCACATTAGACAGTTCACAGCATGTATACTGTGGAGAACCTTTGTACCGCCCGCTTGGAGGACTACAGCCTCTGTACATGGGGCGCAACCTAACTGCTAGGACATCTGGCACCCCTACCCTCAGCTTTTTAAAAAACTCACAAAATGTATCAGTGTGAAGGCTCTTTTTACTTTACATTTTTACATTTAGTAATGTTGGGATAAATAACTTGATTTGGTTATTTGTACCGATGTATAAATCCAGAGTGTACTCTGCTTTTGCAGGTTAGTTTGACAGTAGAAAAATGGCTGGATGAATCTTTAGTGTAAACTCTATACATTGTATAATATGTATTTATAATGTCAGGAGTGTTATTTGCATTTGTGTCTGTTATTTTCAGGTGAAGGATTTCTTGGCTGGGTCAATATCTTAGGCTCTGACCCAACTGCTGTTCGTGAGCTCCCCAGAGACTCAGCCTCGTCAGATGGCTGATTAGATAGACACCCTTGGTTTGACAGGGATGATGGTGAACAGTTGCAGCCACCTCTGGGACCCTGGGCCTTGTGTTTATCTTTGTTTGGGTTGTTGAAATTTACCACTGACATTAGAGGCTGCAGATAAAGGAACAGGCGTACAAGCCAGAGGCCTGACCTCTTTCATGTGCAAGGAGAACAAGGAGTTAAAAGGACAAAGAGCAGGAAAATAATGCACAGATTAAAGTCATTACTCACACTGTGGCCTGTTGTAAATTATTCATGTTGGGCTTGCGTGAGTCTCCAGCATTAATGCAAACCTTGATTTTTGGATCGCTGGCAGGCTTAAGAACGCAGCCTGTCAACATTTACTAAGGGGCATGGTTGTTATTTAGAGACATCTAAACCAGGCCGATTTAACCCAGGAAATACATAACTGAACAACATTAGGTTTTTAACTTTAGCACTCACAACATGTCAGAGTCCATGTGTAATGGGATGTGTGAGATGGGATAAGTCACACAGGGATAGTGGGTAAATATCCTGCTTGGAGAAGGATGTCTCGGTTAGTTTATTATTGTCCAGAGCCTTTATTTAAATATAAAGGCGAGTTGATCAGCCCAAGAGTGACTTTTTTGTTCCACTGAGAATGTTTAAGTAGCTTGTTGAGATGCTGTCTAACTGATCAACAAAAGACGTTGTGACA